GGAGGAGGAGGAGGAGGAAGGGGGAGAGGGGATATAGGTAATGGAGGTAGAGGTGAAGGTGGAGATGGAGTTGGAGGTGGAGTCGAGTTTTGTTTGGGTGTTTGGGGTGAGGGGAGAAGGTCTGTGGATGAGAAGGAGGAGCGGAGGAAGTGGGTGGAGGAGGAGTATCAGGTGGGTTTTGGGGTTTGGGATTTGACATTTGACATTTGGTATGGTATGTGATATAGAGACGGGGAGATGGGGAGAGGGGTTGAGTTAGGAGAAGAGAAGGGAAGGGGAAGGGAACGGAATGGGTTTGAATAGCTAAGTGAGTAAGCGAATGAGTGAGCGGGAGATGAATGGAAATGGAAAGAAAATGGAAATGGAATCATTATCAAAATCAAGAAAAATAATCGATAGAGGGTGAGATAGGATTTGGATTGGATGGGAATGGGGTAGGGGATATAGCGAGGAATGGGGTGGGGGGCGTAGTAAGAGGTATGAAAGGAGCAGAAGGAGAATGAGGTGTGGAGGAATATTATGGGTGGGTGGGGGACGGAGATGGGGATGGGATTGATGAATTAGCCTGAGGCTGGGGCATTCGAGCATATATACTTGGGCTATGGTGTAGCAGTGATGGTGAGGTGATATCAGAAAAGCAAGGTGAGAGTGATTCATGGTATTTATTGTGACAGTGATACGGTAGTTAGTCAATCTTGACTAGTGATGATATACACACACTCCTCAACTCCTTAACGACAACACTACAACACAACAAAAGACCATTCCAAATCTCCAACAACAACCTAGATATTTCCACCATCAATTGTCAAATCATTATCATCTCCACATCAGACTGCACCATACTATATATACTATATATACTATATACCAAATTTATCCATCAAAACCTCTTGGATATTACCTACTGGTATACTCGAGTATCTTTTGGAAATTGGAAGTTTATTTTAGTGCATTGGTATGAGTATATCGAGGGGCTGGCTCAATGCTTAAATTTGGTTAGTGGTATTAAGGGGTTTTTTCGTTTGATTGTTTGGTTCGTGTGGAAAGGGAGGGAGGGGGGAGGGAGAGAGCGGTATTGATATGATGGTTTATTGGGTTATTGTAGATTATCTGGAGGGTTAATATGCAGAATGTTTGGGGGTCTAGGGTAGGGAGTAAGGGCCCTCTTGGATGTAAAATTCTATCATTTATATTTGGCTCTTTTGCTCGAAATTCTAATAATTCCGGGAAAGTATTCTTGAATACAAAATACCGGATTCTGTAAGAATTGAATGGAATAAACTCTTTTGATATAAAAAAATGTTAAATATTCTGTTTTATTCTGATTTTATATTTTTTTTGATGATATAAATTAAAAAGTGAAAATTGCTAAAAAATGTTTTTATTGATTTATTAAATATTTTGTATTTTCTATAGAGTTTTATAGATTATGATAATCTATAGTTTTAAAATAAAATCTGGAATTATCTTTATTTCTGTTTTGATTCTGTTTTAAAACTATTCTCATTTTCGTTTCATAGACTATTCAAAAAAATGAAGTTGTTTCTATTTTTATTTAGTAAGTTTGTGACCAAAAGGGTATAAACAGGACTCCGATTGTGTACTTAGAATCTACAAGTGAAGAGCTATGTAGGATGCTAAAAGGAGGACTATATATACAGGTATTGGGAGCCATAAGGGCTAGGCCCAAAAGGGTGAAAGGGTCCTAGGCGTAAGATGCCTAGGTCTAGAGCTATAGAGCTAGGGCTCTAAGCTGTGAAAGGAAGGTCCAAAAGAGCCGTCATATCATACTACATATGTAGTATGAGCCAGTGGGCGGAAGAGAGCCGTCTGTTCCGTCACAAAGTTATTCAATTGATGATGATCTTTTAATTCTCATTTAAGATTTTCAATTTGTTTTATTTTTATTTATTTAATCAAGATATATGAAGATTTTAGTATTCAAATAATAAAATGATTCCGGGTTATTTTATACTATTTCTATAAAATATAACTTTTCTGGAATCCAGGTTTTTTAAAAAGAGCAGAAGAGCCAGGAATAAATGCTAGAATTTTGCATCCAAGGGAGCCCTAATTGGTAAGGTTAGGTGAGGAGGAATCTTTGTGAATATTTGTAATTCAGTATTATGTACTCGAGTAGTGGGTACTATTGCGGGTAATTGAATTGATGAATGCTTGGATTGGGGATGGAGAATGGAGGTTGGAGGTTGGAGAATGGAGGTGAGGATATGTATAGTGCTGTCTTTTTGACTAGGGCAAAGATGAATAATGAGAAATTTTGTTGATGAAATGTATTGGATTGGAGGGGGAGGGGGAGGGGGGGGGGTATCTTGATGGTTTGTGAAGTTATGAGGATCGATGTATAAGTTCAATGGAAGTGAAGGACTTGGGGAAAGGGCTTGGGTGGAGAGTTCGAGGTGGAGAGTTTGTGGTGGAGAGTTTATGGTTGGGGGGATATATGGGACGGGATGGGATGAGATGAGATGAGACAAGATGAGATGAGACAAGATGAGATGAGACAAGATGAGATGAGACAAGATGAGATGAGATGAGATGAGATGAGATGAGACGAGATAGGGTTATAATGGTGAGAATTAGGTAGTGATGAAAACAAATGGCATACAAGAAGACGCGCATTTATTTTAAATATGGAGATATACTGCCGCCGTTAATTTTGCGACAGTTGGACACACCATAGAACTAACTTCCATCTTTTGACTTCTTCAATTGATGTAGAGATGCAGAGTTTGTATAGGGGTGTTTATATATCCCGCTCGGGAAAGAATATTTGAGAGATGGGTAAGATGTGAGATGTGAGGTGGATTGGGTGATGGTGATTCACAGATATTCTATAATTCACATTTACTGATAATGTGGTATATGGTATATGTAATTGAAATCATACCAGCGGCTAGTATTCACTCACAATACTGCTCCACCTCACTAATCATACTCAGTAGTATCGCTCTAAAAACATGAAAGCCTCCATAGAGTCGTCATACTATAAATGTTCATAGCAGCTATTACTTCTGATGGATATAATAGCAGGGCGGTATCTTGACAACGAATCTTTCAAGAGCATCCGGAGTTGGAAGTGTTGGGAGGCTCTAGGAGTAGAGGTATATTGGGAATGGAGAGGAGAAGGAGAACAAGCTGTGCATCTTGAAGGGGGAGGTTGTTATGTGATAGCAAAAATGCGCGGGTTGATGACGAGAATAAGTGGTGAGTGGTGATGAAAGATTAGTTTGGTGTTGGATATTTTTGTATTTTGATGGTAATCGCATTGATCGATGATAAATGAAGTTGTGATTGGTTCCTTTTCATATCATGTATCAATATTTGCAGAAGGAGACGTGATTGATGACCGATATACGAGTAGTTCCTCGTGCCTTCCAGTCCACACTCAAGAATTGCCCTCAAGACATCTTCGACATGTTTCCAGGTATATTGCCAGTGGCGTCTAAATAATTAAAACAGGGTGGTGGGTATTATTTATATACTTGGATGGTACTAAGGAAACCGTTGAGAGGTATGCTCTGGTTGTGGAAGGATACTTATTAGTGATCACTATACAATCCGCATCATCGAGTTATTCAGCGGTTGAAAGCCCATATTTACCACATGATAGCATACGAGATGCACGTTCTTCTTCACTAAGGTACTATCTATCCATGTATCTCATATCTCTTGCTTTCCATCTTCATGATTGTAGGATATAAATAGAGGTGGTCGCAGCGATGTGTTGAAGGTCAAATTTGATATACACAAATAATCTGTGACACTAGGCATGGGTCATCTATCTATGGACAAAACATAATTGTCAATATTTGGATAATCTGAAGAAGAAGAGGTTGTGGTTGGAGTTGGGGACAGCGAGGAATGGCAAAGGATTGGTAATGCGACAGTCAGCAGTCATAGTGATAAATAAACACTTCCTTTTAATTCTCAGCAGCGATTGTATAAACCAGTAACGAATGCTATAACATGATGTGAAGACTGAATCCACTTTCTACGGGTAATCATCAAAATATATTCTGGAAAAGCTGTCTCATACTTACAACACGAGAGTTGCGTGTCCACACCGCTTACATCGTAGGGGAGCGAAGAGGTTGTGTCGGATACTGATTTGATATGAGAAAGATGCGACCGCTATTTATATGCTGTACGGCGGAAAGGCTGGAGTATTAGCTTTGAATGTAAGATACAAATGAGCGATGAGTCAACTGGTCAATTTATAAGGTAGATATAATATCCACTGATCCCCATTACTTCTCAGTCAGTAACTCTGCTCCACGAGATACAAAGTCAAGTTGAAAACACAATAATATCCTCTACAATTCATCCACACAGTGGTGCAAATGTTTACAGAAGCCTCATCTGCATTTCCATTCCCATACCCAAATATCACACCAGTAAACCCTAACACAATCAAACTACATAAACCCACCTATGATACATATCATCATTAACATCTAGTTTTCCTATGGTTCAGTGGTTTGCGTGACTGGCCAGTACAAGGATCAAGGATCCATAGGCGGCTAGATGCTCTGTTGCCACAGATAACCACCCGGTTTCTGGATTCCGAGGGCCCCGGAATTTCTTTTGCTATTTTTTTTTGGTTGCTTTTGCGTTTGGTTTTTTAGTTTTGATTTTTGGTTTTTGGTTTTGGATTTGAGGGCATTTGGGTGGTGTTGTGAATAAGCGATGAGTGGGGGGAATGTGCGAAGCGAGGTGAGGTGTGAGGTGAAAGGGGAGTGAAGGGAGATTTTGAGGTGGAAGTGGGGATGGGGCTGGGATTGAGATGGAATGGTGAAGTTGAAGTTAATAATAAGCCGATGAGTAAATTTATGGTTAACGGTGTTGAATGGGGATACCGATGACGGGAGAGAAGGTGTCGGATATTTCAATAAATATTGCGAGAACCTGAGTAAGAGTTGACACATTAATATTCATACTTGAGGAGCGTATTATGATTTTTTTTTGATAACCATGACTGGATAACAAGTCCATATTATCTTGTGCTTATTTGTCGGGTACGCCTTTTAGAGAATGATAACGCGAATAGTAGAGGGCATTTCATAGCAGGCATGAAGTTTTCTCCTGTGAATTTTTGTAAGGATGGCAATACACAATACAATTTGGGGAAAAGGAGACTTTGTCCTCCTTAGGCTCATGATACCGCTTACCAGATGAACCTCAAGTTACAAGGTTCTTACTCGAACCTTACTCGTGGTATGGGTTGGGAAGTGGTGTTGTATATTAAGAAGATGTAGCTGACGTGCACAAAATTCAGAATGGGATGGTAATGAGAGCGAGTGATGTTGAAAGTATTTATAATGATTGTAAGGTTAAATGACAGCACAAAATGCAAAAAATGATGGATGGTTCCCTCCACAACAACACAAGTGACCAAAGAAGACCAGATCATAACACCACGAATACAGCAGAGGTATTAACAAATAACAATATCCGAAATTATACTCGTGTAAAGGTAGGATGCATAATTTCGTGTTTATTGATTATCCTCCTCGCGTGTTGTGTTTATTTCCTAGAATTGTAATCTAATTTATAGCAAGAACTTTACTGAAATATAACAATTTCGAGCTTAAATGCCGTACTAGGAAACGGGTTTTGTTTATTGGCGATAGGGTAAGGGTACGGTGTAGAAAATGGTGAATCAAGTAGGCTGGTGCGGCATAAGACAAGATAGTGGGAGAGCTGGCTTGTGGCTTCGCATGTTATCATTTACGTGTTTTGTATACATTGTATTGGGAGAATGAAGATGTACGCGAGTAGATATTTATGGGGAAGGAAACGGGGGAATTGGTTGAACTATGGGAGTACATAAACATTAAAGGGAAATATTTTAATTTGATGGGCTTGTATAATACCGTGGTAGAAGCAGAGAGCAAAAGGCTATTACGGCAACTGTGAGCAACAATCAGAGCTCAGGCGGTGGTTGGAATCCTGGCAGTAGTCAAGTTCTGAATCTCATATTTATTGGAAATGATAATGCCTTATGAGAATGGAAGGATGATAATGTCAGTGAAGTACTAGGCTGACTTGAAATTCCTTGATCCGAGGGCTGGGATTTTTTCCTCTTGTAGAATCTTGGTACATAGTCCAAGAATTCGATATTGGAGTAGAAGTAGAAAGAATAATCTCTTATATAGCTTGATTAGGGGTCATGTCATGGTATAATTGATAATGTACGAGAAGGACAAGTGAATATGAGGCCATGAGGGAACGAGTTGAAAGGGTTAGACTTAGACTGATTCGGCGGTAATTTTACCATATTGGAAGCTTAAAATGTGCTAATGTGGAAGACAATGCTCTTTTGATTCGAAATTAGAGTTGAAAATGCAGATGAAATAACGTAGATAACAACAAGTTAACTAGTTCAATAGCAACGAAAAGTAATAGGATTAGCACTAATCTACTGTTCAATTATTTACATCTATTTTGATACGTAGTACTTGATGCAGCACTTCTACTATGTACCAAACGCATAGATCATGATACTGAATATCTATAAAATAAAAGCAAAAATAAAGTATAAGCTTGCATACATAGGCGTAGGCCGTAGGGAAAACTTGAATTGTTCAGGTGGTTGAGTATACAAACCTGATTGACTGGGAGTGGACATACAGAAACCTTTATATGCCAGCTATATGCTGGTCGTGTGGTGTAAGAAGTGATCTTATTTGAAATCAGGACCGCAAAATACAGGTGTAAGAAGAAAAGTGACGAGCAGGGTAGCGTGGCTGGTGAATATTCATCTAAGTCCTTTGAGTTTCCAATTTCAGTGCGTTATGGGTTTCTCAATATCATTCTACATACGAGGTGAGTATAAGTAGGTAGATTAGATACTAATGCAGAAATGAAATAAAATATCACAATAGTGGTGTGAAGTGCCATTTGAGACTCTAATATGATATGATTTTACAAGAAGCTAGTTACGTTGGAGGTTTTAGTAGATCAACGCCGGAAAGACTGAGGGGTGAGAATGAGATGAAAGCTTAATTTATTGATAACTTTCTGACACCGTGAAGGGCCTTGGGTTGAGAAAAAAAAGATCAGATAGAATTATTATTTCTTAGAAGTATGCACCAAATAAATTGAACGAACCAATCTTCTCCAAAAATCGACAATATTAATTTAATTTACTACTACTACTACTAGTACTATGCAGCAGCAAATGGAACTTGAGACAAAACAACATTAGTGTTCAATATCAACAGCATCTAGCACGTACTAGAATATCTGTAAGCACCAATCATATGGACGCCCTATCTGAACTTTGGGATATAGAAGTATGTATATATAAAAGCCAAGCTTGCTTCCGCTGAAACTCTCCGAAGAAATACCTAGTCAATCGCCTAGCTTTACTAACACTAACGAGGTAGCTACTACTCACCTGTAATATCAGATCAGGTGAACGCCATTGCAGCTAATGGTAGCTACTCGTGTATCCAAGAATTCAGGGAATCGAAAAAACCCGTAAGCGCTTCACCCACCTCACAATCTTCTAATTCAGGCCGTAGACTGCAGACTGCAGACCACAAACTAAAGAAAGGTAGGTGGAAATTTAAAAGCATCAATTGGATACCACAACTCTCGGTTTCCAGCGCTGATACTGTAGTAGCTAACCCAAGATGTTTGTACTCGAGTATAAAAAAAAACGTATCGGTAGTTACCCTCACTGGTACAAATCATATGTATAGCGCTTGAATCTTGATCAAGCTTCCCTGGCCGTAAACCTCAATTAAAAAGCTCTCGGGGACTGAAGCACATTTTGGAAAGAGTCTTGCAAGCAATCGTAATCTCTTGATGAGATGGGCTGATCGGAAGGAAGGATTTTTTGATATGAATGGACCCCGGCCCTAGGGTATATAGAAGTATGAAGGTTAGGTATTCGGAGATAAGTTTTATTTTGATGGTGAACTCCGATGTTAGGATGGAGTAGGAAATCATAATGACTATTAATAAATGGCCTCAACGTTTCCCGAAACGCTACTATATGCCGGTACTCAGATCTTTTATTCATTCCCAATTCTCATTGAAAAGATAATGTAACTCTTCATACTTCATAGATATCTACCATATATTCTAATCTTCCTCCATTTTCTCCAGACCGCGTAATTCGCTTCTATCCCTGTCGCGAGATCGTTCCCTATCAACGCTTATATCATCTCGCGGGGTATCATTACTGTATCTCCTTCGTCTACTTTCCACATCTCCATCTCCATCTCCGTCTCCATCTCCATCTTCATCTCTATAGCCGTCCATATCTTCATCTTCTCCACTTTCATGCTTTACATTATGCCTACCTTGCGATTCAAGCTTTAAATCGTTGAGTCCCACAGATTCATCCGCATCCCCCACATCAACCCAGATGCGGACGGTACCATCCAGACCTCCACTCACGACAGATCCATTCGGTCCAGGGGCGGTATCGACCCAACAGACTACACCCTCATGTCCGTGAACCTTTTGTATTAATTCCTTCGTACTCACATCCCAAAAAAGAATATCGCCATCTTCACTACCAGAATTAATAAATCCCTGATTACCGCTGAAGCCAAAACTGCCACCTAACGAGTATTTATCGTTCACATGTCCCTGATATGTCTTTTTGCAAGTTCCAGCAACATAATCCCATAACCGTATGCATGAATCAAGTGTATGCGCGAGAATAAATCGACCATTGGGAGAGAATCGAACTGTGGTTACAGGCGCATTATCTTCGTGCACAAGAGTTCGAAGGCATTGTCCGGTTGCGGTATCCCATACACGACTAGGATAAAAGTCAGTATACTTGATATGCAATTAGGAGCGACGGATATAAACTTACATGAGCCCATCGGTCGAGCAACTGCATACCAAAGTCCCATCTCGTATGAAATCCACCGCACCAACAGGATCCGAATGTGCAGGCAAACTTCTCATTTGTCTTCTTGCGCGTAAATCCCACAGGAACACAGCTTCATCATAACTTCCACTAGCTATCACGTTGCCTTTTGGAGAGAAAGCCACCGAATAGACATAATTATGATGACCGAGTAAAGGCGTGGGATATGGTTTACCAGTCGCTCGATCCCATAACCTAATAGCCTTATCATCAGATCCCGAAGCGATAGTATTTGAATCCGGACTCCAAGCTATTGTCGATACACCTGCAAGATGTCCCTCCATAGTTCGCATATGTTTTCCCGTTTCCGCATCCCATATCTTGATTGTGCCATCTGCAGAACAACTAGCAATCCATCGTCCGTTGGGTGAGAATCTTACTTGCGCAACTCCTTTGCGATGACCTCTCAATATGAATTTGCATTTGTAGTTGAGCTTGAGAGGTTTGCGAGCTGGTGGTGAAGGTGAGGAATGCACCGAGCGAGGTGAGTCTTCAGAGGTAGATCTGCTTCTTGAATGATGTGAATTTCGTCGACTTTGAGAACTTCGCGGACTTCGATGACGAGGATGGGTATGATCAAGTTCATCGGCGCTTCCATCACTGGTATATGCTCTCGATTGTCGACGTATTGAATCGCGACGCGTGCTGGTAGAAGGTCGAATGGGTTTATCGATTGCCAATTCATCTGGTGAACTATATCCTGGTGTAGAAACTTCGCTATCGTATCTTCGACGTTTTGGTTGGTGTCTTTCTGCCATATTGAATGGAGTTGTAGATGCTGAATTAAAGTTGGACATTATTTGGAGCAACTTATTGTTCTATTACTGACGGCGTCATGATAATATTTAACCGCCATTAGATATAGAGGTTAAGCGCGCGTTTATCTATAGCTTTGAGTGGTCCAGATCCTATGACAGCCTCGGCTGATCCCCGGACAGCTCCGTAACCTTGCACCCCTCCCCTGCTTTTCTGTTTCCTAGGTGCAGCATCCAAGCAAACGTCATGGAAGCTTATTTTGAGAGGGACCAAACTGAGGAAGTGAAAGAAGGACAATTAGGATTATTGTTTCCTTCACTACCTTTACCAACTTCACCCATTTTGATTATTGAGTCTGTGTTGTATCAATGAAGGAAATAAATACATGATACATGCAGTTAAAAGGGGACACATCTGAAAGCGAGATTCTTCAATTTTACTCTACAAGTATTGCGCCGCTCTACACCTCAGCAAAACTCAACGATATAAAGATTTATTTTCCCGCCTTTCTGTGGTTGAGTCTTCGCTACTATCAATATGGAGACGTCAATTCTAGAAGTCAATGAGATCAATGTGCTCACCTACAATTGTTGGGGTCTCAAGTTTCTTGCTGACCTTCGAAATGAGCGTTTGACAGAGATTGGAAAAGCCATTGGGTCTGCGAGTCCTACACCTCACATAGTTGGTCTGCAGGAGTGTTGGACACAGCAAGACTACAAGAGTATACGGAAGGAAACGAAACATATCTTACCTTATGGAAAGTTTTATCACAGTGGCATATTTGGAGGCGGTCTGGCAATACTTTCGAAATGGCCAATAGAGGAAAGTTCTATGTTTAGATATCCTCTCAATGGTAGACCTACAGCATTTTTCAGGGGCGACTGGTTCGTTGGGAAGGGTGTTGCTGGTGCCAGGATACGATATGGACCAGGTCCAAAAGATATCGTGGAAGTCTTTACTACACATGTAGGTACTTTGAAGCTTCGTTGTTGCATGACAAAACTAACATATATAGCTCCACGCACCATACGAATCAGAACCAAATGATTCTTACATATGTCATCGAACGGCACAAGCATGGGAAATAGCAAAGCTTATGAGAGGGGCAGCGGAGCGTGGACATCTAGTTTTAGGCCTCGGCGACTTCAATATGATACCATTATCCCTCGCTCATCGACTTATCAGCACCCATTCGCCCACTCGTGATGTTTGGATGGTTCAACATCCCGATTGCTCCATTGGTGCAGCGGTTGACGAAGTCGAGAAAGCTAGACGACGTCCCATACCGACTGCAGAATTTAACTTACTCGAGAATGGTGCCACTTGCGATAGCGTATTGAACACATGGCGATGGAATAAAGGGCAACAAAAACGTCTGGGGCCAAATCGACCAGAGATTGATATTCCGGGAAATACATCTGATCCTCGAGCCAAACGACTAGACTACATCTTTGCCAATACATGTTTCGATGCCAATAATCCATCCGCAGGAGGATGGATTGTGAAAAGTGCACGTGTTGGTATGCTCCAACGACATTCGAAATATCAATGTTCATTGAGTGATCACTTCTCGGTCGAAACAACATTGGTACACACTAAATATGCTACACCAGCCCAGCAAATCATAGAAAATAAATCAGCAATGTCCAACGGTATCTACCTCCAAACGGCCCCTTCCGAATCACAGCTCATAAGCGTGCATTCTCAACTCAACCCCCCATCTTCCCCCCCTCACCTCCCAACCTCAACTTACGATGAAATCATCACCATGATCCACAAATACCGGCTCCGAGAGCGTCGCCAACGACGTCTTCGTCTCGGCCATTTCGTCGCTTCTGTTTTCATCAGCATCGGCTGTTTCATCGCTGTCTGGTGGAGTCCTCGTAATTTCGTGGCGTTTTTACTCATGTTATTATCGACTTTGGGTCTGGGAGCTGGTATTGTTGATGGTTTGATTGGGGGTCTGTTTGTGGGAAGTGAGATTAGAGCGTTAAAGGAGTTTGAGTGGGAAATTTGTAATGCGAGGGCGGGGGCTAGTGGGGAGCCGCTTGTGCTGGGTGAGGAGGGGATTTTGGATTGGTAGGTTGGTTGGTTTTTGGTGAGTGGTGGGGGATGGGGGAAAGAGGGGAGGCCGAAGAGAAGTTATGAATGTAATGTGTAATTGAAAGTACCTTCAGGTATGCATGATTGGTGTATTCTTTCTAGAAGAGAACCTGGGGTGGGAACTGGTAAAAGTATTTTTGTAGCGGTTTAAATATCTCACTTAGTCTCGTTAACTTGTTATAAAGTACTCAGTAGTATAATATCGATGGTTTAGATGGTTTAATTTTTTACTTGTTGTGTTGAGAGAAAGGGATAAGGTGTATTGTATCTGTGTGTGTGTGTGTGTGTGTGTGTGTGTATTTCTTTAGCCAAGACTCCGTTTACTACTGCTGCTTCATAAGTATGAAATGCTTTTCTGCGGTTAATAATAATAAGCTAGACGGATGGCATAGCTTCATTTCAAAAATGTATATCTTGAGGTATATCCTGAGGTGTTTTTTGAGCGCGAAAGTGGTGTCTAGATTTGTTAGACAGTCGGATCTTTCGTTTTTGTAAGCTGGAAGGGTGAGATTTAGTAGGACTAAGTATAAGTACTGGTGAGAATTTGTAGTTAACTTATAAGATAGTATAAATATAGTATGTGAAGAGTGCAGTTGTATAGTCGAGTGGTTCGGCGGATTAGATTAGATTAGATGTCTGGGAATGGAATTATAGAATCGGAATTAGAGAATTAGAGAGGTGTGGATTAGAGGGGTGTAGATTGAGAGAGGTGTGGATTAGATCTGAGGATATTGAGTTTTGATTTGTTTTGAGTTCTGCCTGGACTGGACATTTTCTAGTAAGTCTTATATGTTGATCGTTAAATTAATTACAGTGGTATTTGTGAATAGGGATTGATACTCGGAAGTTATTTTTGCTGTAATGTGTGAGGCTTTGGCATGGGAAAGTATGTGAATATGTGAATCGCATGGTATCGTCTATATGATACCGGTGTGCTTTATTTTGAAAAGAAGTACTAGACTCATTAGACTTCATAGGTACAGCTGTTTGGTCAGGAAAATTTCATATTGAGTTTCAAATTTTCCTTGTCAGTTCTCGACATACTACTGTACATATTCACATGGTTGAATGTTTTGGGAAAGATTGCAACGGTGCTTCTGTAGTATTCTTTTCCTATCATTGGGTATATCTAGATAGTCCCTTGCTTCAGGCATTGGTTTTTGTGTTAATTGGCTATTATGATGTATCGCTATGCTATTTTCCTTAGCTAGCTAATTCCGTAGTTGAATGAATTCATGTCACCATAAGTTCTTAGGTCCACAAGCTGAAAAAAAAACATACCATTATCCTTCGTGATATAAGAATTGGAGAAATTCGGAGACTGGTATCTTGCTTCACTTCTTCGCACAATGATATTCCTTCACTGTAATTGCATCATTTTCCCGCCACGTACCTCCGCACATTTTGCTCTGTCCCACAACCCTGAATTCATTTCTTTCGCTTCCCACCGAAATACCCCACTACACCACAGTCCTGGCTACAACAGCCTCTCCATCGATGTATCCATTTATCCCTCAACCATTACCACTAATACTCCATTAACCACGGTTCTTCATCTACCACGGTGCTCCATCGAACATCTGTGCCAGTCCTTTATATTTGTGTAAAGGAGCGCCGTCCATGTGGCATGAGAGATCGGCGTCTATTACTACCCAACAGAGCCTCGGTGGGGAAATATCTTGAGAGCGTTCAAATTTCCCATTTGGACTATCATCAAATAAGCACAATAAACCTAGCGTGGGTTTAAGATTCTCCCAGTATTTGAAAGTCTTTTCTCCGGGCAATTCCCATGGATCGGTTATCTTGGTATTCAGAAAACGATCAAAGTCCTCCATCACCTTAATCGCATGGTCGCGAATCTTTTTGATGGCGGCCCAAAGGACAGGATCATTTTGCGAATCGCGTAGACGTTTATCATTGACATTGTGGATATCTAGATCCGTCATGCCATCTGAGAAATCCATGATTCGATATTTGCTTTTATTTTGAGTACTTCCTTGGCCAGTACCTCCTCGTAGCCCAACAAGGAGATATAGCTTCTCAAGTGCAGGACAATGTAAACTCAGGAGTGTATATAAGTTGACTTACTTGCGCATCAAAGACTCGTCGGTATCTTCATCAGCTCTCCTGAGGGGTTCGAACGTTAGGGTGTCCAAAGCAAGGTGGGTGATATTGCTGAGATTGATACTTCCACCTCGTTCGTATAACTCCAAAAATGGCGTCGCTTGGAGGATAAAAGTATCGATGGTGGGTCGGATATACGTATGGTACATGATGTTATCAGATCGAACTTTCAGAAACGACGAGGACGGAGCTATAATCACAAGCTTTTGAAACGTACGAAAGACCTCGGCGTTGGACTCTTTGCAAGCCAGAAGAAACGGGAGAAGCTCGGGATATCTAGTCACCAAGACCATCAGCCATTCTCTGATGGTATTAGTGTAGGGGAAAGGAATGATAGGGATTCTGACGATCAATGGCTCAGGAAATGCTTCCTTGAAGATTCTGCATCTGATTTCGAGTGGAAGGCGTGAAAATGGTGAAAATGTGATGAGAGAACTTGCGGGCGGCTGGTAAACCATGTTCATGATTGTGGCTTTCCGAAGATTCTTTAAGAGATGATAAATCTGTGATGGATGTGACAACTTCAATGATGACTTTTATAAGTCAAATATGAACTGTATGGAAGATGAATTTCGGAAGCTGAGGAGTTTGTATGTGTTGTAAGGAAGAACGTTTGAAGGCTTTGGAAAAGTATTTGGACAGACTATATAACATGTTTTATAGTACAGCATAGCATACCAGAACACGATAAGGCTGTACTAAAAGATGCACCAACAATGATTTGTCGGTTTGATAATGACCGTACAACCGTATTCAAAGTAGTAAACTCACATTCTCGCTTACCGCCGAAAATACGGTAGGGCTAGCGCATGACGAATTAATCGACCTAATGAAACCGGTAAAGCATCTAGACGATTTGGGCTGTGTGAAACCTCAGACAGCTTATCATAAAGGAATCCTGGAGCTGAACTTCCTCTTATGCTCGCAGGCGAGCTACTCAAGCCTTTCTATATCTTGATGAGTGAAGAGAATTGGGCAGGATTGGTGGAAGTTGAGAGGGAAGTGAAGAGGAGATAATATAGAAACAAAATAGAACGGGAGAGCTGAAGGATGAAAAGGCTCAAACACTATATCTGAAATCATGAGATTGCACATGACGTTTAACGTCATGGCTTACTTCATACTTATTCTGTGCGGCGTACAATTCGATTGCTTGTCTTGGAGTCAAGTGTTGAAGCAATCATCCTCAAAGTTTATAACATAATCATGGTCAAAGTCTAGATAAATTGACATCTGATTGATCACGAGGCTGTACTGATTCGTTAATTTGCATTGGTGGTTATAGACATTCTTAGTCTAATTTTCGCTGTTTACAATAGAGCGCAGTGACTCACTCTCACAGCAAACTCGTATTGTAATTCAAACTAAAGCAGTAGAAGATAAGAACAGTGTTTATATAGATAATTTTATAGATTTCAGTTTTATGGAGCTAAGATTTAATGAACTTGGGCAAGCGAATCGTCTGTGTCATACGCTGCTCTGGAATACTCCCAGATGGCTATCTAAATCAAACTGTTATACAACACACATCATCCGCAAAATATTTCTTCCACTTTTCGGCGTTAGCAGCGTGAAAAACGCTTTGGCGGTTTTGTGATACTTGCCAAATTACAGCGCCAATAGTGTATTCACAAAAAATAATTCGGTACTGAAACAGTACTACCAATACTACTAGTATTATTGACATTACTGATATTATTGATATCTACGATATTGATAATATTAATATTGAAAAGAAAGCTAGTCTTAGGTTTTATTATTAATCAATTGAATAAAACTTTAGACATTTTAAACTTAAATTTTTTTTCAAATAATATTGAATAATATAAAATGATAAACTTAACTTTTTTTTTTAAACTTTAATAAAATAATTTATCACTAAATTATAAACCTTTTAATAATTTTATATTATATCAATTATATTATAATATATATATTATTATTATCTAATATTAATATTATTTATTAATATTAATAATAGATTTATATTATTCAAATTATATTAATAATAATAATAAAACTAGCTTTATAATAATTATATATTCTGAAAGCTTTCAATTAATATTATTCAAATATCATTTTTCCGATTATAAAATATTATTAGTTTCAAGAATATTAATTATTCTAATAATACAATACTAAGAATGAATAAGCATGATAAAAATGATAAAAATGATACGAAT